TGAACGGGCCCGGCCGGGACGCGCGAGGTCCACGGACGGCTCCGATACCACTGCCGGTATCGATATCGCTGCCGGTATTGATATCGAGCCGGTATCGATATCGCTGCCGGTATTGATATCGTGCCGTTACTGATATCGCTGCCAATACTGACCGCCCCTCTGCCGCCGCCCAGGCCGGGTCCCAGTGCCACCCTCGGGATCGGGAGAGCTGCTGGATCCTAGTGCCACCCTCTCTGGATCGGGAGAGCTGCTGGATCCTAGTGCCACCCTCTGGATCGGGAGAGCCCCTGGATCCTAGTGCCACCCTCTCGGGATCGGGAGAGCCGCTGGATCCTAGTGCCTCCTTCTCTGGATCGGGAGAGCCGCCGGGAAAGGCCGGGACTGATCCCCCGGTCCCCGGGGAGGGGGGCAGCGCTGTCCGGTTGCGGCAGGAGCAGCACGCCGAGCCTGAGCCGTGCCGGTTCAGCGCATTGCAGGGATGCCGAGGTCTCCCCCGCGCTGACCGGGCAGCTCAGGGCCCCGCTCGGGGGGTTTCGTGGCACAGGGAGAGGGCTCCAACGCTGGCAGGGACCTGCAGCCCTGACGCCTGTCCAGAGGGATTCTAGCTCTGCTGTGCCGGTGATGCTTTACCCTGTGCAGGGCTGTGGCAGCTGAGGCAGCAGGCAAAGAGCTTCGTGTGCTCCTCTGCTGCACTGCCCTGCAGGAAGCAGCCCCAGTTCCTGGACCACTCGCTCTGCACCCCAGCATCTGTACCCCTCCTGTCACCCCTGGCCCCCCCAGACACCACCGGACCCAGCCAAACATGTGGCATCTGTTTACATGTTCAAAGAGCTGCTGTGGGCTCAGGGCACACACTTGCCCTTGGCATGTCACATCTCTCCAGGGACATGGGAGCTGCCAGTGCCCTGTGACAGCCCAGCAGCCCTGAGCCCTGTGGGACCGAGGATCACTCCAGATTGAGCACCCATCCTGCATAATTGCAGCTGCTGGTTCCCAAATAACCTCAAATGCTTTCAGCACCCTCTTCCCTGTTTAGGCTCAGCTCCACCCCCTTGTCACCTCCCCCTCTTATTTATAGCCTGGCAGCCTGTGATGAGCTATTGAGTATCCCCCCTCCCTCGCCCCCTGTCCTGTCCTGCAGCCACAAAGGGCACAGCAAGGGGCACCACTGAATTAAAAACCATTTTAATGGCCACATTTGCTTTGGTCTGAATCCAAGGACACTTGTGACAAGGCAACTCAGAGCTCCTAGGGCACATGTGGCTCCAGGGCTTCCCAGCTGAGGGGATACAGACACCAAGCAGCAGAAGGCAGAGCCTGAATCCAGCTGCCTGCACCCCACATCCAGCACTGTCCAGAGGGCACAAGTGGAGCAAGGACCACAGTAGAGCTTCATCTCTGTGAGAGTTTGCAGCCCCGGCAGGGCTGAGCATTTCTGCCCCATGTCCTGATGGAGTCTAGCAGCATGTCTAATCCAGCATTAAATATTCCTCCTAGTGGAGTGAGCAGAAAACCAGGTCTCCCTGGGTCCATCCAGGCAGGTGTTTGGAGCTGGTGGGGCTGCATGGGTCCAGCTCATTGCCCCCCATGTACCAACAGGGGGTTCCCAGCCCATCCACCAGCTGGGGAAACAGGCACTGCTGCTGCAGGCACGGAGACTCCCTGCTCCAGGGCTTGGCAAAAGGTGTCCAACCATGGCACCGGCAGAGCTGAGACATGTTGCTGCAGGATGAGAGCTGCCCTGCCACTGAACTTCCTGCTGCTTCACCCTGTGGCTGGCACCCTACCTGCCTGCCCAGGATGAGTGGTTGAAGACAATGTTGCTCCTCTTGGCCCAGCGGGAGAAGATGGCTTTCTCGGTGATGAAGCGGTGTCCGGCACGGCGAGCTCGCTCGTGCATCAGGTACATCTTGCACTCGTCCAGCCAGCCCTTCTCAAAGTAGTGGTACGGCACGCTGGAGTGGTTCTTCTCCCTGGCAGGAGGGGGCAGGCTGAGTGTGGGACTTGGGGGGACACCGGACCACCCCACAGCTGCCCCTGTCACCCCAACCACACCTGCAGTAGCTGTCGCTGACCATGCCAAAGACACAGATCTGCTCGCACAGCTCCATGGCCAGGATCATGGTGAACCAGCCCGTGCTCAGGAAGGAGCCGGATTTCATCCTGCAAAGCATGGTGGTCACACCGGAGTGGGTGGCACTGTGCCCCTGGCCCACCCACACTATGGCTGATGGATGGGAGGGACAGGAGGTACATCAGGGGGACCCAACCGGGCTCCTCAGGAGCCAGCAGTACCTGTTCTTCCCTGTCTCATTCTGGAAGACATCGTCACAGTATGCCATCTTCTCCTCGGTCAGGGTGTAGATCTGCAGCTGGGGGTACTTCTCTGTCACCTTCAGCAGCGCCTGGTAGGTTGAGCCCATCTTCTCCCTGCTCATCTTCTTTGCTGGCCCCCAGACAAAGTAGAGGGTCTCTTGGGACTGCTGGAAGAAGTAGGGCTGGTTCCCCAGCAGCAGAGGAACGCTGGTGTGTGAGACCACCCGGATAGTGCTGCGTGCCCCCACGTCCTGCTCATAGCCGGTGGTGGGGGCATGGTTCATGCGCAGGACACACTCCTGCCCGTCGATGGCCTGTCCCAGCTGGGAGCCCAGCATCTGTCCCGAGCTGGAGACGACGGCGCAGTGGCGGCACAGCGCTCGCTCCAAAGGCTGTGGGGAGATGCACCGTCAGCTCCTTCTCCCCCTGGACCCCTTTCCCAAAGGACAGCAAAGATGGGCCGAGCTGCCCCACCAGCCCCAGCGCCGCCCCATCCCCACTCACCTTCCCGTCGGGAACGCGGCTGTACCCCTGGAAGCTGCGGACGCTGGATGTGGCGGGGCTGTCCCGCAGCCCCGGGGCCTGGCAGCAGGGCTGCATGCGGGCGCGGTAGCCCAGCAGGATGTACAGCACGGCCACCACCATCGCGCACACCAGCGTGAGGAAGAGCCGGACCTAGAAGCAGGGCGGGGGGAGCTCTCCGGGCCTGCCCACGTGCAGCGGCCCCGCGCCGGATGGCGGTGGCCCCGTGGCC